AACTGTTATTGTAAATTGTATTGTTGTTTGTAAATTAAATATATTTGTGTTAAAAAAAAAGAAAACCGTAGTGTATCAATCTTGTTGGCAAATATCATAAACTAGACTAAATATTGGCTTTTACTTAACTGCTAAATCCAAAGTATAATTTAACTACTAAATGTAAAGTATCATTTAACTAAATTTCAGGCTATTTGAAATTCTAATACGTAACATACCCCAGTGACTCAGCGGTAAATATGAGTGTTTACAACGCTAAAAATCGGTTTTCGATACTTGTGGTGGATAGAGTACTTATAGCCCATTATTGAGCTGCGTGCTTAACAACACAACAATACTTAGATGACATTAAACCATTTTATAATGTCTATCTCAAATTTGTTGATGGATAAGCAATGTTAGTGTTTGTAAAATACGCTGTTTAGATAGCATTCTCACTGACTATATCAAACCTTACTTGTCTTTACAATGATCACTAAATAATTCTAAAAACGCATTTTTTAGACATTCCTAATGTATGCAGCGAATTTTTCTTGCGTCTAAAATGTTAATTAAAATCCTCAAAAATTACAAAAAACATTACTTAGATATATTCACCGAGTGGAGTGAGATTTGTTTGTTTTTACAATGTTCATCAACCAATTCCAAATAAAGTTGTTTATAAAATTCCACTGAATGCAACAAAACTTTCTTGTTTCTAAAATGTCAATTAAGTAATTCTAAGGTTTCGTTACACTCAGTACGAATGTCTAAACAATGTTTCGTAGAATTATTTGATTGATATTAAAGATACAACAATTGATTGTACTCAGTAGTAATGTCTAAACAATGTTTCGTAAGTTAAAGGACACGGTAGCGGCAAGGAGGTTCCGTTCAACCCACTGAAAATGTCTAAACAATGTTTCTTAGATTCGATTTGAGTTTACTTACTGATTGTAAACATTTTTTATTACAAGTTACATCTTTTACAGTAAGGAAAAATATTATTTTAAAATGGCACGATGTTTCAATCATTGGTGGATCACTCTGAAGTGTTTGAGTATAATCGCACCAGTGATCGAAATGTTGTACCGTTTTAAAAATATTTTTTCTTATTGTAAAAGCTGTAATAATAACAAATATTTTGGGCGTATGTAAACAGTTATTTCTAAAAAATGAACGAAGGATATGTTTATTACTAAGTTGTTTCTTTGCACTCATTAACTATGGTAAGAAAAACTGTTCTATAGTTGATATAAATAAAGGTAGAGACATGAAGATTTGGTTGCATCGAGTGGATATGTGTAAATAAATATTCTTACAATGGTTTTATAGACATGGTGATAAATTGGAGGTTTCAATGAGAAAGTCTAAATAGCGTTTCTTAGAACTGTTTGATTGACATTGTACACATAAGATTTGATTTCACTCTGTAGGAATGCCTAAAGAATTGCTAATGGACACAGGTGGCCCGGCATGGCCAGGTGGATAAGACGCTCGACTCGCAATCTAAGGGTCGCAGGTTCGAATCCCCGTCCCACCAAACATGCTCGCCCTTTCAGCCGTGGGGGCGTTATAATGTGACGGTCAATCCCACTATTCGTTGGTAAAAGAGTAGCCCAAGAGTTGGCGGTGGGTGGTGATGACTAGCTGCCTTCCCTCTAGTCTTACACTGCTAAATTAGGGACGGCTAGCGCAGATAGCCCTCGTGTAGCTTTGCGCGAAATTCAAAACAAACAAACAAACATACGCCCATTGACTGAGATCAAACCACCAAGTGTCCGCCATGTTTCTCAAACAATTCAAGAACGCTATTTGCCATTTCTGCTAAATACAACGAAAATCTGTTCGACATATACAATTCAAAAAAAAGTATTTAACATGTTGTGTACTACCAAGCTTTCTAATCTTGTGTATGCTCATAAAACAATTCTGAAAACGACTTTTTATCTACAAATCTTTAACATGTCCTTCGAGCAATTCTAAAAAATGATGTTTGCACATTTTCTCTAAGTGCAACAAAACTTCTTAGTCTTCTAATGGTTTTTTCCCTTTACACATTAAATCACTGAAACATGAACATCGCGTGTAAAATAACATGTGCAGTTTTATAATTACTTCTAATTACTCTTCCCATGAAAAATTATTATGTTGGTACACGAAACTTAAATATATCTTCTAGTATAAAACGACTAATTTCATACCATGTCTGGATCATTCCACTTCCCTGGACCAGCTGCTGCTATCAGGTCGTCCTGGTTTGCTGCATAGTAATCAATGATCGAGAGCACACTCTTCCATGAATCAGCAATGTCATCAAAGTTTCGCCAGAGGTTACAGTTTTCACCAATTAGCTTGTAATTTGGCTAAAACGTACAAAAAAGCGTCGCCGTGAACTTAACAAATTCCATAAACTGTTTATAAACACTTCTAACAGTCGGTTTAGTGACTATAGAAGGAAGTTCTTTATTAAACAAAAAAGTTAAAATATAAATGAATGTAATGAATATCACCCTACACATCATTCGAGAACAGAAAAGTGCTGGAAAGACGTAGTTTGTATTATTACATCATGCACCTATTCCATGCAACAATTCTCTATGAGACTTTACAAATCAAGATAGATATCCAGTGTCCACCTGTTTACTTCTTCAACGCAACCCCCAGTGGCACAGCGGTATGTCTGCGGACTTACAATGCTAGAATCCGGGTTTCGATACCCGTGGTGGGTAGAGCACAGATAGCCCATTGTGTAGCTTTGTGCTTAATTACATACAAACAAGCAAACAATCTTCAACGCCTCCTAATGGTATCCTGAAGAATACTGATGAATCACCAAATAAATACAAATATTATTTGATTTAACCATATCTGTTTTCAGCACGTCTTAATAAGAATTTGAAGAAAGTAAGAAGAATATTGATAAATCAGTACAGTTTTTTTTTGTTTATTTGTAGTTCAGCACAAAGCTACATAATGGGCCATCTGTGCTGTGCCAACCAAGAATATCGAAACCCGATTTTTAGCGTTATAAGCTTTCAGACTTAACGCTGAGCCAGTGGGGACACATAATTAGAGAAATACAAAAGTTGAGTAACTTGTCGAATTTCTATTTTTAATGTGCATGTGAAGGAATAATTACACGAGTTGAACGAAACGAAGGTGAAATGAGCAACAACTGCCTGGTTCAGGTAGAGGTAGTTTTGTAGGACTAAAGATCTACAAAGGTAGCACAAGTACGTTAGACAATGAGTCTAATTAACACTGTGTTTTCTACAATGGCGAAGTTCTATGGTTCTATCAGGCTGGTACAGTCTTGAAGTTATTCAATTCTTGTACCAAAGTGTCTTTCAGTCTCTCCAGTGTAGGTTTGTTTACAGGAACATGGTATTTCATAAAAAATGACTTATGTTTATATTGCTCTTTGTTTAGTTTTGACAAAGATGGATATGAGGTTTTGTAAGACTTCGGGTGATTATCAAAATTAAACTTCTTGGTAACTCGTCTGATATTTTCACTTAAGCTTTGCATACAAGAGAGGTAAGTTATGGTAGATTTATTTCCTTTGTTTCTTTTGTAAAATATGGTGTTCTGTTTGTTTTCAAATCTTTGGGGATGTAACATTTTTTCATTCGTCATACATTGCCTAGGTGGAAGAAAATGTTTCAAATGTTGGTCATTTTATATTAAGAATATATAAACAAATTTATTTGGGCTATCTGCTGTGTTCACCAAAGGGGAATCCAAGCCCGTATTTTAGCATTGTAAATCCATATACCTACCGCTATCCCATTGG